TCCTTGACCACATCTAGTTGTACCTTTCATTAGCCCGTCTTTCAAAAATGCGAAATCTCCTACTTCAAATTCAACTGTTTTGTCTTTTAGGTCGTAGTATTTCTGTTGTTTATCCTGAACAGCTTTCAATCTGTCTAATTAATCTTATTTTCTTTATGACTTCGTCAACTAGCTCGGGACTTAGCATTTGACGTTCACCCACTTCAACCCAACTGAGTGGCGTTCTGTACTTTCTGCCATACAATATTTCGTAAGGCGCCATATTGATGTTGGATTAGTAGTTGTTGTTGTAAGCAAACTCAATCATTGGAATATGAGCTTCCTAACTGCCTCCAATTTCGAGAGCACAAAGTTTTCACAGATCTTCTAGAATTTAAATTGTTCTTTTTGATTGTCCGTTGGTTTGTGAATGAAATGCAATGCCGAGATGTAAGTGTGTACCCAAACATTGTTGAATGACTTTCCACAATCCGGACGTGAACCTTCTGTCAATAACTTTTGGAATACCGTGCAATCCGATAATTTCTTTGAGATATAGTCTTATCAGCTTTTCCACTGAATCTGTCTGTTTGATTGGCAAAAAGTGAGCCGACTTTGTTAATCTGTCAGTAATAACCCATGTACTGTCGTGGCTCTGTTTGGATCAAGGAAATCCCATGACAAAATCCATAGAAATATCTTCTCATTTTCATTCAGGTATCGACAATGATTGTAGCAATTCGTTGGGTCTCTGATGCTCAAGCCTTTTAATCTGACATGTTTGGCATTAAGATACATATTCAACAACATTTTTTTTCATACCTGGCCACCATAATGCCAACTTTAAATGTTTGTGCATTTTGTGCTGTTTGGATGAATTCTGTAGTCTGAATGATGAGCTTCATGTAGAATTTCTTGTTCCAAACCAGTATCGGTATGTACCAATATCTGTAGCTTATTTCAGATAATGCCTTCTTCATAAGCAATTATATCAGTGCTCTTTTCTAATTGACATTGCTTCAGGAGTTTCAGATATTCACGACTAACTTTCTGAGCTGCCTTGATTCTATCCATTAACGTAGGTTGCACTGTCAGTTGATGTAAGTAAGTCGTATCACCAGATCTTTTAAATTCCAATTGTAAAGCATCAATTTCTTTAATCAACTCCGGCCACTAAGTATGAATCCAACTTACATTACTTGTGTATTTACAGTTCAATACATCAACGACAACATTTGCTTGGCCCAGACAATACTGTATATGCAGATCATAATCTTTGATCAACTCTAACCCTTTTAGCTGCCTCAAATTTGGCTCTTTTTGTGTAAACATATATTTAAGGATTTGATGATCTCTGAAGACTTCACATTTCATACCATATAAATAATGTCACCAAATTTTGAGAGCAAGTAACACAAAAGCTAACTCCAGATAATGTGTCGAATAGTTTCTTTGATGTTGCTTCAACTGTCAGGATACATATTTTTTTTATTTTGCAATAAAACGCAACCCAAACCTCGTAAGGACGTGTCACTGTAAATCTGAAATTATTATGTGCCTGATGGAAGAGTTAAAACTTGTGCAGTGGTCAAATGTTTCTTTAACTTTTGAAAACTGTGCTCACATTATACATAGCACTCAAAGTGAAAATCTTTTCTCATCAGTTTGGATAATGATATAGCTATCTATTAAAAAATTTTGATGTACTTCTTGTAATATCCTTTCAAACCAAGAAAAATGCATACCTCTGTCACATTTTTTGGTGGTCATTCCACAATTGCTTTGAGTTTTTGAGGATCAACTGAAATTCCCTGACCGCCGATAATGTGTCCAAAAAATGCAATGCTTCACAGATAAAATTCATATCTCAAAAATTTTGCAAATTATGATTTTGTTTTAGCAGCTCCAAAACTATCCTCAAATATTTGACGTGACCTTCATTAATGTATTACTAAATCAGAATATAGTCAATAAATATAATAATGAACTGATGCGCATATGGCTTGAAAATTGGATTCATCAGGTCCATAAAAATTGCAGGAGCATTAGTGAAGCCAAAAGACATAACTAAGAATTCTTATTGACCATTATCTGGTCCAAAAAACTGTCATAGTTATATATGCCTCTTTGATTCTAACCTGATGATATCCCCATCTCACATCATTTCGGGAAAATACAAGTGCATATTTGAACTAATCAAATAGATCATCGATCCTGTGCAAATAATATTTGTTCTTGATTGTCACTTTATTCAGCTCTCTGTAATCATTCTATAACCACTTGGATCCATTATTCTTTTTGATGAATAATACTGGATCACTCCACGGTGAATTACTTGGTCATTTCACAATTACTTTGAGTTTCTGAGGATCAACTCAAATTCCCTGACCGTCGATAATGTGTCCAAAAAATGCAATGTTTCACACAAAATTCGCATTTAAAAAATTTTACATATTATGATTCTGTATCAACAGCTTCAAAATTGTCCTCAAATATTTGTCGTGATCTTCATTAGTGTATTAATAAATCAGAATATCATCAATAAATATAATGATGAACTGATCCATGTATGGCTTGAAAATTGGATTCATCAGGTCAATAAAATTTGCAGGAGCATTAGTTAAGCCAAATGACATAACTAAGAATTCATATTGACCATTATCTGGTCCAAAAAACTGTCATATTTATATCTGTCTCTTTGATTTGGACCTGATGATATCCCCATCTTAGATCAATTCGTGAAAATACATGTGCAGATTCTAACTAATCAAATAGATCGTTTTTCTTGACGAATAATATTTGTTCTTGATCCTGTAAAAATAATATTTATTCTTGATTGTCACTTTATTCAGCTCTCTGTAATCAATACATAACAGCATGAATCTATCATTCTTCTTGACGAATAATACTGGATCACTCTACGGTGAATTACTTGGCCTGATAAAACCGTTATCAATCAATCTTGTAACTGATATTTCAATTCCTGCAATTCTTTTGGGACCATCCTGTACGGAGATTTGAATATTACAGATGTTAGTTTTTGCACATCAATACCAAATTTAACTTCTCATTCTTGCGGTGGTCTTGGCAATTCATAAGGGAATACATAAAAAAATTCTTCCTTTCGTTATTCATGCATGGTGCTTTAGACATAATTGATCGATATAATTCATAGAATTTAATAAAATTATTTAAATCAAATTTCGGAAGATTAAAAATTTGGGTAGTTTTCAATTGTGTTGTACTTTACCTTATTCCTTGAAATTTGGGTGTTACAATAAACCTCTCTATAGTTGCATAATTTGCTAGGATGGGCAATGAATAACATTGCTGGTGAGGCAGACAATGATAAAGTTGTTGGCAACCAAAATAAAGTAATAGTAAAAGGATGAATTTGCTTGGTGCTTTATATTGAAAAAAGGATGAATTTGCATGGTGCTTTATTGCTGACACTTGCATGTGGTCATCCTGATATTTCAATTCTTGCAAATCTTTTGGGGCCATCCTGTATAGAGATTTGAATATTACAAATGTTCGTTTTCGCACATCAATACCAAATTTAACTTCTCGTTCTTGCGGTAGTCTTGGCAATTCATAAGGGAATACATAAAAAAATTCTTCCTTTCATTATTCATGCATGGTGCTTTATATATAATTGATCGATATAATTCATAGAATTTAATAAAATTATTTCAATCAAATTTCTGAAGATTAAAATTTTGGGTACTTTTCAATTGTGTCGTATTTACCTTATTCGTTGAAATTTGGGTGTTACAATAAACCTCTCTATACTTGCATAATTTGCTAGGATGGGCAATGAGTAACATTGCTGGTGAGGCAGACAATGATAAGTTGTTGGCAACCAAAATAAAGTAATAGTAAAAGGATGAATTTGCTTGGTGCTTTATATTGAAAAAGGATGAATTTGCATGGTGCTTTATTGCTGACACTTGCATGTGGTTATCCTGATATTTCAATTCCTGCAATTCTTTTTGGGCCATCCTGTACGGAGATTTGAATATTACAGATGTTCGTTTTTGCACATCAATACCAAATTTAACTTCTCATTCTTGCAGTAGTCTTGGCAATTCATAAGGGAATACATAAAAAAAATTCTTCCTTTCATTATTCATGCATGGTGCTTTATATATAATTGATCGATATAATTCATAGAATTTAATAAAATTATTTCAATCAAATTTCAGAAGATTAAAATTTGGGTACTTTTCAATTGTGCCGTACTTTACCTTATTCCTTGAAATTTGGGCGTTACAATAAACCTCTCTATATATGCATAATTTGCTTGGATGGGCAATGAGTAACATTGCTGGTGAGGCAGACAATGATAAGTTGTTGGCAACCAAAATAAAGTAATAGTAAAAGGATGAATTTGTTTGGTGCTTTGTATTGAAAAAAAAGGATGAATTTGCATGGTGCTTTATTCATGCATTATGCTTTATATTGAAAACTTATTCATCACTCAACAATTTATAAAAGGATAACCACATGCAAGTGTCAGCAATAAAATAATAGTGGATGCGATGTGTCATTATAAAAACATAATTAGTTTAGAAGACTTGAAATGGCATGCTAAACAATTTTTATATTAGCACCAATTGACTCCAACACATAAAATTCGAGACCTTGCTCTACAATAATAGCAGGTTTATTCTTTCTCATAATAATTTTTTTTTGTTTAAGGCGACCAAGGAGCCAAAACGTTTGTGTCATGCCTTTTTTTTTTTTTAGAAACTATGAGTTTGCATCATTTTTTATAAATGTTAATTCCATGTTTTGTGGTTTATCTTTTCACATATCCTAATTTTTAGTTACTGGGATTACTTCTACTCTAAATAATGAAATATGACTTGAGAAAAATGCTTATTACTTTTATATTTTAGATTTTTTTTTTGTTTTTTTATGAATCATGTTTTAGTTTAATTAGGACTTATTAACTGCATTTCCTCACATATAACCATTATATCACCGTCTTATGTTCCATCATTACTTTTTTCTAATAGACACCTCAATCACCAATTGTGCGGACAGCTTCATACAACAAATTTTGCATGGATGAATTTCCCACCGGGACAAATGCAATAGTTGCTGTTCTAGCTTACTCAGGGTAGATCTTCCCCCTGCAATACTACATGATATTAAATTTAAATTCTGTTTTGTTATTTATTTTTTTATGATTTTCTCAGCTATGATATGGAGGATGCCATGATCTTGAACAAATCAGCTGTTGAGCGTGGGCTTTTTCGTGGGCATATATACCAGGCTAGTTTTTCTCATGAATTCCCCATTATTTGTGAAGGGAATATGTGAAAAAAATGAATGTTTTATACCATTTTTATTCATTTTTTTTATTTTTAATGATAAGAGTATTTATTCCGGTTCTTCTAACTTTGTATGTGATAATGTTCTTAAATTTTATTACTGCATATTTTATTCACTTGTCCTTTTTCTTTTTCTTTTGATATTCAATTGTCTGACTAGTTAACTTATTTGGTTGAGCGATATGAGATGTTTATTTTTTTTTAAGTTTTTGTTATTCATAAGAGCGAGCCATCATTTTTAAACTGCACTGGTGGTACTAGATTGTGAATTCAATGGCGATATGAAAGTTTTGGCTGTATTGACACCCAAAATCAACTTATTCTTCCAAGTTCAATTCGATAATGAGATTTTATCTCTTTTTTCTATCAGAGTATTTTGTAGACTGAATAAGTTTAGTGAAAGGTTTTTATGTTTTGTGAATGCATTATTTGTCAATTGGGTTGTAAGCCTATACGACGTCGGATTTGATTGAAGATATTACTAGTTGAGCGTATGATCATCGACATAATCATATCTTTTTGTTGATTACAAACATATCTTCCTGAAAGCTTTTATTTGCTGATTGACTCCAATTTTTTAATAGCTTACGATTGAGAAACTTACAAGGATTGTGAAATAATTGCTCATATGTCAAATTTCTTGAGATTTATTTTTTAATGATTACTGTCTGTGAATTGTTTTATTTATCTTCTTAAATTTTTACTTTAAATGCTTAAATTTTAGGCATTTATTGAAATTAGTTGTACATCCCTCCTTGATGTCCATTTCATGTTGGTTGAAAGGCTTGCAAATTTTTTTTTAGTCGATGTGGGTTAGCTATATTACTATTATTATTATTATTATTACTATTATTGTTATTATTTTGGTGCTTAGTCATAATATTTACATTATTATATTATATAATATCTAGTTTTTATAGCATGTGCATGAAGTTTCTGCAAACATAAGATATTCCGTTTTCAGATTTCTTGATTTTATTTTGAACATTTGTTTGCAAATTTATTGGGGGAGGGCTTGGGTTCATTTGGAGAGTGGGTTTGACTTTTGTAGTAGGTTGTGGAATTGTAGCGACAAAACGAAAATTATCGTTTTCAAGGTATTTTGAAGACAGGAATATAATCTCAGTATTTATTTTTAATGACTTTGAACTAAATAATAGTATCTAAATAAATTTTAGGTTTTCAAAATATGTTTTCAATTTCAAGCGACCATTTGTGCCCTTAATTCAAAATAAAATGTAGGCTCAATTTGTAGGTAAAATATAACCAATTACCATAAATATAGCTTTTGAACAACGAATTTGATACTGAAGGAAGCCCTAATCACAATGAAAATAACAATGAAAATAATAATAATATTGCTGAATTTCAACAATTTACAAATAAAGACTACTAATGGAAGGAAATGACACCAAAAATACCAACACAATCCCAAAGACACAACTTATAGATTCCAATTAGGGCTATAATAGCAGGTAGGGATGCTGACGGCAGGAGGGCAATTTGCTGGTAGGTGTTGGAGATGGCCGGAGGCCTGCCAGAAGGGAGTTAGAGGAAGGGCAGTCTACTGAGATATGTTTGGGACACCCAAGGGAGTTGGTGGAAGGCAGTCTGCTGCAATTGAGTACGAGATGATGGACAATGAATTGGAAGAGGTCATAAGGGGTCGGGACAACCCCAGAAGCATGGCCAGCCCGAACCACAACGAAAATAATGATAATATTGCTGAATTCCAACAATTTACAAGTAAAGAATCTCCTAAAGAAAGCAAACGACACAAAAAATAGCAACACAATCCTAAAACACAACATATAGACTGTAACTAGGGCTATGATAGCGGTGGGGATATTGATGACAGCAAGGCAGCTTGTTGGGAGGTGTTGGAGATGGTCGGTGTTTTGCCTGAAAGAAGCTGGAGGAAGGGTAGTCTGTTGGGATGTGTTTGAGACGCCAACCGACCTGTCGGAAGGGAGTTGGAGGAAGGCAACTTGCTAGGCTGGAGTTGTAGACGAAGGGAAACGACTTGGAAGAGGTAGGTAGGGGTCAGAACAACCCCCAGAAGTGTGGTCGCAACCTGGAAGATGCCGCCAGTGGTCAGGACAACATCCAATAATATGGACAACAACTTGGAAGTGCAAGATGGGATGGTGGCAACAATATAGCAGCTTGAGGCTGCAAACAACAGTAGGGAAGGTGATTTGGGAGGCCAGCGGGAGGTTGGGAAAGCAGATAGGTGGTTGGAAGGCCGGTGCGGCAACGGAGAAGATAATTTGTGGTTGTTGGAAGTGGGGCCGGAGGAGGGGTTGCAAAAGGATATATATCTCATTTGGCTTGATCTACAATCAAAGCACCACTCAAACCCTTGGAGACGGTCACCACCTCAGACGAGTTACAACCGGAACAACTTCTTGTCGTTTGGTACAACCCTGGGGTTGGGGGGGGGGTCGCCTCAAAAGACAATACCAGAAATTTATACTCATCCAAATCTGAACTCTAAAGCACTCAATAGCACATATATATATATAATGGGAATTTGTAAATAATAAATAATTCTTAGGAAATGAAAGAAATAGAAAGACAGGCATAGAATATGTAGCAAGTAAAATACGAGATTCATGGAAAAGGAAGTTAAGAGGGAGGGGAATGAAAAAAAAAGGGGAGAATGGTTGGACCGTGATTATGTGGCAGCTACAGTGTCGTGACCCGAGGAAGTTCCCGCGTCAATTTATCGCGGTTGGGGAGTTTCGACCATTATCGTCAAAGCTTTTAGGGCAGAAAACTTTTGTTGGGGGTAGCCTGGGTAGGGGTGGATGCTAGGGACCCTGGGATAGGAATAAGGTTGAGTTAACTCTGATACCAAATGACACTGAAGGAAGGCCAAACCACAACAAAAATAATAATAATATTGTTGAATTCCAACTATTTACAAATAGAAACTCTCCTAACAAAAACAAATGACACAAAAATAGCAATGCAATCCTAAAAACACAACACATAGACTCCAAAGACACAACACATAGACTCCAAAAGTGTGGACTTTTATGAAAGCAGCTGGGGATGTTGACGGCTGTAGAGCAGCTTGCTGGGAGGTGTTGGAGATGGCTGGCAACATGTCGAACACAACACATAGACTCCAAAAGTGTGGAATTTTATGAAAGCAGGTGGGGATGTTGACGGCTGTAGAGCAGCATGCTGGGAGGTGTTGGAGATGGCTGGCAACATGTCGAAAGAGAGCTTGAGGAAGGGCGGTCAGCTGGGATGTGTTTGAGACGCCTGGCAGCCTGCGGGAAGGGGTTGGAAAAAGGTAGTCTGCTGTGATAGAGCACGGGATGATGGACAACGAATTCGAAGAGGTCGGCAGGGGTCGGGATAGCCCCCAAAAGTGTGGACAACAATTGTCGTCGATAGTCGGGACAACACCCAATAGAACGATAGTAACTTGGAAGGTGCGGGATGGGATGGTTGCAATAGGATAGCTGCTGAAGGAGGCGAACAGTAGCAGGGAAGGTGATTGGGGTGGCCAGCGAGAGGCAGGGACAACAGGGAGGTTTCTGGAAGGCCGATGTAACAGCGGAGAAGATAGTTTGCGATTGTTGGAAGCGGGCGGAGGAGTGGTTGCGGAAGGATACATATGTCAATGCGAGGGGTTTGCGACACTGTAGCAGCTATAGTGTTGTGACCCAGGGAAGCTCCCGCGTTAGAATTCAATGAGAAGAAATTTTTCTTAGGTATTGGCATTTAATATCAATGTGGATTTTAATAGAAGTTTAGAAAATGCTTATTTTCTTGTTAATCTTGAATCAAAGCTACTTGTGCCTAACTCGTTCAAACATGACTTGATGTCATTCTTATGTAATGATAACCTATAAGGTTCTGTTTAGTTATTTATAATTAAAGTTCACTATTGTGCTCTTGGCATAAATTGATTCTATGTTATTTTAAAGAAAATTAAGAACCTTGTTGATCATTATTTTATCCATGCTGATCTTTTTTAATTCTATTCTGATTTGCATACGATTTTGAAAGTTTTTCTTGCAGACAGAAACTATTGATTTGGCTAATAAGAAGAACCAGGCAGAAAAAGTTTCAGTCGTCTTTTCAAGAGGCCTTGATGCTCCCAAATCATTGATAGATTCAGATGGTCTTCCTTTCATTGGACGGGTATAATTCAGGCTCAATAGTGAGCAAATATATTCCTAATTTTCTTTATTTTAAAGGGTAATCTTGTTTTTTTTTAATTTTTTTGAATGCTTTTTTTGGGTAGATGATTCATCCAAATGAGCCAAAGTATTATACTTATAATACACTTTCTAGTTCATCCTCATCGTGCATGTTAAAAGGATCTGAATCGATGATTGTCGATTATGTTGCTGTTGATGGTACTGGTTCGAAGAAGTACATTCAAAAGGTAAACTCTATTCTTCATGCACATTTCCCATTTTTTATGCATAATAGTCCTTTTTGGTTATTTTTGTTTCAGAAAATGGTATATAACTCTTTCTTACATTTGTTCTTATTACTCCTCTTATAATATGTTGGTAAAGGTTTTTTGTGAGATAATAAACAATAAAAAATTTGACAATATCAGGTACGTTGTTGGTCTATGCTCTCTTGGTTGTATGGATTGTGGTTTTTAAATAATTGGGAACTTGAGCAATAATTTGCAAAGAGTTTTTGAGTTGGCCTGAAAATTGATTTATTTAAGCAATTACATAAATTTAGATTTATGTGGAAAACAAATTATGAGTGTGTGTGTATGTAATCATAACAAGCCAAGAATTTAATTAATGTAAGCGCAAGTGTGAATAGAGTAAGGATAGTGATAACCTTTAATTAAAAAAAAAATCCAAATCACTCAATAGCACCCCCTTAATGAGAAAAAAATAAAATGATAAAATCTATTCTTTCAGAATTCTGATCCCCTCGTCCACTTTCTCTCTTTCTCTCTCTAACTTTCTCTTGTGTGTCTTGTATCCTCTTCCTTGTTGTTATCGCAACCTCACACTCGCAGTGTCACTATTGCCAAAATTTTATCCTTCATGCGTGCTTGCATCCAATGTCGTAGTCCCTCTGCATCGTGTGCATCTCAATCCAATATCGCATGCAACCACCCCTGCTCCACCTTGCCCTTCAGGCTGCTACCATTTTACATCCATCCACATGCATTAGCCACCTTTGTTGCTCTTTCTTCTTGATTCTTCTCTTCTTCCTTTCTGAGGCCTCTCTCTCTCTTTTCTTAACTACACCCTCATTTTTTCTCTATTTTGCTCTTCCATTTTTTTTATTGGACACCTCTCTTCTAGTCTCTGTCTCTCGCTCTTTATCTCTCCTTTTTATTACTCTCCTACTGCCCATCTCTCTCACCTGCTAAGGCCAACCCCTTCTCTCTCTAACTTCCTCTCTCACTATCACTTTCTACAAATCGATAAAAAAACTAAAAAAGAGAAAAAGAAGAAAAGTAAAAGAAAACCAAAAATACAAAAGCAACGAAAAAAACTCTTTTTTGGTTGTCTTGTTATATCTATCTCAAATCAGGACACCTCGCGTGCATAACTAAAAATGAGCTTCCACGATGTTTTAAGTGCTCACATGCTTCGTTGTGACTTGACGAGACTTAGTATTAAAAAGAATACCAATGTATTTTTTGACGTGGTGAGTGGAAAATTCATACCAGCTTTTTTTGGTGCGGTGGATGTTGGAGATATAGTTGCTGAAAATATGCTCATACACTTCTTTTTTTTTATGTGGCAGAGGAGTTTGTTTGAAATTTTGTATGCATGTATAAAAGGACAAATATGTGCTTTTCATGTCGTCATGGGATTTGAAGACCTGGGCGTGGTGTCTTATACATTAGCCACACTCACTTTTTTTGACGCGGCCCAGCATTTCTGAAGATGCCCCCTACATGGGAAAGAGGTTGCGATATTGTCAATTTTTTCAATCAAAGGATTTAAAATGAAATGTATATGAATAGTGTTTTGGACTTAAAACACGACTAAAAGATTGATATTAAAATGTAAAATTATGTTAATGAACAATTAAAATGAAATATTGGTCACATTGAAAGGATTGAAAGGAACCATAATATAATGCAAGATTAAGACTTGAATTGGATTCGTAGAGGACTTCCAATGAATTTTAAAGCTTCCAAAAAGCGTGGAACTCTCTAATTACACTGTTCTTCTAAACATTCATGAACTTTTGGAACCTTGAAGGACAGACTAATTGAACTGAATTTGGAATGAAGAAGAACTAGAATGTTTTTATTTATATGAAAAGAACAATCTCTTTTGAGGCCCACTTGATCAAATATAGAGTTTCAAATACAAATCGCCTGCAAAACTTCAAAGATCTAATAAATATTGGGACCCATAATAATCACAATAAATTTGTAAACTAATTCACGCAAATGGAGAGAATGCGATCGATAATGGACTTGAAATGAACTTTGCTCATTTTGTTGGCCTTTTGTTTAGTGAATGATCACCTGGCTTTTGTACCCTTTCAAATGGCTTTGCTCACACGAATGAGTATGCTTCTCAATAAAATTAAAGTGGTCCAATCCATTGCATTTCATGGGTTGTATTAGTGCTCTAAGTGATCCATACATTTATTGCTAAGAGCAACCAATGAATTTTCGGAGCGATAGTGCGTTCCCTTGAACGATACTTGATACTTGCAAAACAATATTTTTAAAAATGAGGTAAGCAGTTTGCTGTTGTCTCGAAGCACACATTAATTTCAAAAATATTTGCACTATAAATAAAGCTATCAAAAGAAAATTTCCTCGTACATGCTCTGACAAACATCATAAATAACTGCCTGAATTAAGGTCCCAGGATGTTGTACAAGCTAGGACAAAGTAAATTTAAATAATCCTTTGAGAAGCATACTGTCAGTTTAGAAACTCAATCTTTTTAAAATTTAAAAATGATACTTGATACACACATTCTCGTGCATGCCACTAGTCCGATCCTTCATGTCACGAATATTGAAGTCGACAAGACTTGTGCTAAATAATCATACACCACCAACAACAAACCTTTATTCCATCAAGTGGGGATGGCTACATGAATCCTTTTCTCCATTGTTTCCTATTGAGTGTCATATTTTCATTTAATTGTAATAAATTAAGATAATTTTTTATACGACATGCCCAAGTATTTTTAGTTCTATGTCTATCTTTTTTAACATAAGCCAAATCTAAAACATCTAACTTCTTAATAGGGTCATCAGATGGTCGGTGTTTAATGTGAAAAAAGCATCTAAGGTGACTCGCTTTAATCTTGTTTGCCACCAAAGGTGCTCCGACCCTTTCGTTAGTGTGATACAACATGTGCTAGAGAATCATTTGTAAACATATTTCTTCTGTGTAACACAATCAATTTGTCATCAATGATTGAGAAATAGATGCTATTCAATGATTATTGTAGAAGTTATTTTATCGATCTTTCTTATACAATCTTCATAGAATTGTATAAAAACCCACTTAGAAATGAAAACTGCTGATACTCAAGTGGGCTACTTGGCCTATTAATCAAGGTTAATGAGTCTCATATCTTTAGGTTTGATTTTCTGTGTTCTTGAAATTGAATTTAATAATAGTTCAACTTTTTGATAAATTATTATAACTCTATCAAGGCGGTTTTGTTTGTCAAACAAATTTACCTTCGAACAAAATCATGAACCTTACAAAATTAATTAAAAGAAAGATTTATTTCAAAAAGAAAACTCTTGATGTCATGCCTATTAAACGCCATCGTAAGTCTTAATCTATATGCTTGATTCATTATGTGCAGTGATACCGGTGTTAAACCTAAACTCAACTGAAATAATAATATTATTGTTGACTTTCAAGGGATTACAAACAACGACACTTGCAATAAGAAAACACGATACAAATACAAAGCAATGGCGTGGATCGGGGTGGTGGTGCTGCGGTCGTATGTGGCGGGGAGGGAGATGGCAGCAAGAAGGTTAGGAGGGGTTGTACGGGTTCGGACTGCAATGGAGAAGAAAAGAGCAGAGCTGTGGTTGGACTGATCAGGATTAGACTGGAGTGGGGGAAGGAAAGGGTGAAGGCTGCTGCTGAGCTATTGGAGTTGGATGGTAGTGGGGAAGGAATTGGGCCTCTATTTGGCTTTAGATTGGACAGGAAGGAAAGGGTGAAGGCTGCTGTTGGGCTATTGGAGCTGGGCTGTAGTGGGGAAGGAATTGGGGAAGGGATTGCTGTTGGGCTTCAGTTGGCTGAAAGCAGAGAAAAGGCGTGTGGCAGGAGAAAGAGGTGAAGTTACAGCAAGTGGAGGCCCTAGATGGCCTAACGGTAACAACATGGAGGGGGAGACGTTCGTGGCTTACACAGGTAATGCAGGAAACAGTAACAACAAATTCCTGGTGACTTCAACGGCTTAGCAGGAAGGAGGAATTGTTGGCTTGGCTACTGGGCAAGGAGTGGGGAGTTCGCAGAAGTAGTGGAAGCATGAGGTAGAACAGGTACATGGGATGCGAGTGGGGAGTTCGCAGAAGCAGTGGAAGCATGAGGTAGAACAGGTACATGGGATGCGACAGAGGCTGACTGGGAGAATTTGTGCTGGTGGACGGAAGGTGCTGAAGGCAGGTGACAGGAAGGCTGTAGGAAAACAGCCGCAAGATGAGGGCAGTAGGAGACGATTTGCGGTAAGTGCACGTGGAAGTCGGAGATGGGTTCAGAGATACAACCTTCAACGGGGAGAGGGATACAGTCGGAGCACCACCCTAACCGTCGGATACAGCCCTCGAGGGGGAAAACAGGACGCCGACAGCTGTCCTCACAAATTTTTGAATTCAGAGATAATATAAACTATCTTCCTAAAACCTATAAACACTTATAAATAGAAGTGGGATGGACGGGAAATAAAATAAGAAGGAAAAAAGTTTTTTTGCCTAATGAAAAGAGGGAAGAAGGGTTCGATTCGGCCCCCTCTTTCATTTAAACCGGTTCATCTTTTAGAGGAAAACCCTCGTTTCATGCAGACTCGACAAATTTGTAATTTAATGAATTTCAAGTAAATTTAGATTTTATGTAAATCTAAGGTTTGATCCTCAATGATGAAATGGATAGAGTTAACCAGGTCTATAATTACAAATAAAGTTACTAAAATTTTTTGATGATGTTTGTTTTATGAAATATCTCAAATGGATGGACCCATTCACACCCCATGTCCATAAAAAAATTTAAAAGAGTAAAATTATCAAGCTTTCATAATAGTTTGTTGGGAACGACTAATCCAAGATTAACTTCAACTTACAAAGAATTATTATTAGATCAAATTCACTTTTGTGATTGGTCTCAAAGATCTCATGTCGCTGAAAATGTGACGCATGTTTTCTAGCCAAATAATTTAATTTCCAAAGGACTTTGAAGCATGGACATGGGCACGGGGACACAACAAAATACAACGACATGACTTAATTATAAAAGGCAGAGCATGACACATCATGGACATGCTTTTTATGTTTAATAAATTATTGATTATAAAAATTATATTTTTTTATTATTCTCTATTAATGACATCAAAATGAAGTATGTAAGAATAAAATTTAACTTGTATTATGATACCTCATCCTACAAAATTTAATTATTTCAAGATTAAACATATTATATGTTTCAAAGAAATTCCTCTAACTTTTTTACTAAAATTGAAAATATCTTATGATTATGCCTTTGATTAGTTAAGTTATAATTTAACTTTAAGAATTGTATTAAGTATATATTGTAGTTTTTAGCTCATTAAAGAATTGGGGTGGATTTGGATATATTCAACTTTGACAAATAGAGACTTTAGCGCAAGCAAGCATCACAGTGTTCGACTTCAATTTCAACTTAGGGTTTTTGGAGCAGCTTCAATCTACAAATTTGACTCGTGCTTTAGTTATTGTAAAGAAGCTTACAGCTTTTGCTTTAGCCGATGTAGTTCAGCTTCAAGGAACAAAAGGGAACTCCAACACTCGACTTCAACTAATGTTGAACGGATTTTTTACACTTGACTTACACAAACAAAGAGGGAACTGTCGATGCTCGACATTGTTGAATGTTGTATACACCTTTGATGCTTGACTATGAAAAATTTTTTAAGGAGTTTCAACATAACGAAAGAGGCAGTTGCTTTGATTATGACGTATAATTAGAGCTACACATTTGCATATAATTTTCTACTATTGTGCCATTTTTTTTCCAACTGGTGTCGAACCCATATCCGAACTGTGTTGAGGTGTGTTCCGGACTTGCTCAGGTTTGAAAAAAATTCAGACACATTTTGCAGTGTCATACGTGTTGAGCGTGCTGGAGCCATGTCAGGGTATGTTAGAGTCTTTTCTGTGTTCGATACGTGTCTAACATGGGTACGTCACATTTTTGAAGGTCTTGGCACCATATAGCCAAATTGCATTACAAAAAATTATAGTTATTGTTGAGACCCTTTGATCAGATTGTTTTTTTTGTAAAATGGAACTTTTAAATCACAATCACAGTTGGATCCTGCAAGTTCCCTTGTGGCCTATATTTCTTGAGTTGTGAATTTTAAAGTGCACTTGATATGACACAAAATTTTTATTTAATTAAAGTCAATTAAAAGTGATCTCCTTAGATAAGCACCCACATCAGTTTCATAAAGTTATTATGGAAGATAAACTCATAGTTGTTGATAAGGACTTTTTGATTATATATTTTTATTAAGTAGATCAGAGTCCATGACAAATTGGGGCCCTGTAACCATGAGACCTTGATTATGTTTGTCATCATTTTTTTTACATTTGTTACAAGTTAACCGTGATATTTTCACTACATTGCTAATTTCATGTGTTAATCATTTTGCGACTATTGACTAGCCTTAGTCAAAAGTTTTCTGTCATCATTCGGAGAGGCAATAAGTATATTGGCTTACATCGATTGGAAATTTTAAAATAGATCTTAATGTTATCGTAAAATGAGAGCTAAATTTTTGGGTTGTGTCTTACTCAAATCTAATCTGTCTTGGGAAAATTTGATGAAAACCTTGCAAGTACTTTTTAATGGAGGTTGGGGCACAAATTTTCTGAATTCACAAGTATGTAATAGTTATAGCCAAAAAACAAAAAGTTCAACTCAAACATACTTTCTCTCATCATATTCTTTGGAATTTCCTTTACTTAGCCTTGGCTTCTTCATGTTTAAGGACAAAATACTCACATCTCTATTTTTCCAAGCACTAGAAAAAAAATCTCACCCACCCACTTTAATTGTGAGGATGAACTTCTTACTGTAAGAGTTAGCTGAATTCATAATATATTGACTAGCAATAAGGATACAGATACAATTCAAGTAAAGAGGATATATATACCGGGCAGTACTACATCTTTTGTAATCATAAAAAAAAAATGTTTGGGAAAAACCTAGAAAAAATTTATTTTTTTTAGAAGCGGAGGATTAAACTAGTATAAGGTCTTTTTCTCCCGTAGTTTGGAAGTCAACACTAATTGCTCAAGGATATAGCTTTTGTAGTTCAAAAGACTTATTTGAAGATGCATAATAGGCTTAAGTTGCTTAAGGTTTTCTCAATAGTTGACAAAATTTGATTTATACGAGACAGTAATGCCCATTGTAAGGAAATCAATGTTGCTTTCCTCCTAAAGTACTGCTCTTTAAGTTTAACGCTCTTTTCTTGAAGATATGAAAGTTGATCAGAAGAAGCTTAAATTGTGGTATGCATAAAATTGAGAAAAATTGTATACATTTAAGAAAAAAAGCTTAATTAAAAGAACCATTCTTATGTTTTATCAAAATTAAATTAGCCTTTGAAGCTCATAATAAATTTTCAATATACTTTGCAAGCAATGTCCTAATGCTTGAAGCAAGAACAAGCATAGGGATTTGAAATGTTGATTAGTGAAGAATGTGAGCTAGAAACTAAAAATGCCAAATGGATATGGGTCTTATTAAGTAAGAGTTGAAGTGACTAAATTATTAGTTCATCAGACTAACATATGTTTTCTCTGCTTGTTTACTGGATGGTTGGTAGGATCGTATGAATTTTAGAATTTGATTGTGTTTATATTGCAAGGAAGATTGTATTTGGATCCGGTATAGCTAATCCAACTTATTGATATGGCTACATCTCTCTCTCTCTCTCACTCACTCTCATATTTGTGCACTTGTGTTGTGCACATTTGTTTTTGCTAGTTGCACGCACATTTTGGTTATAATAACTGTTATTATGTTAAGTTTTTCTCCAGCTACTATCAAGCCAAGGATTCTCCTCATTCACCAATAATTTCTGATCTAGTTATTTTTGCAGATTTCTAGGTGTATTATGTGTGTGTATTTATTTATAATTTTTTTCTAGGTAAATATCCGTGGCCGTCGAGTCAGAAATCCGACGATCGGTGACAAGTTTAGTAGCAGGCATGGACAGAAAGGTGTTTGCTCTCAATTATGGCCGGATGTTGATATGCCATTTTCTTCAATCACAGGAATACGACCAGATCTGATAATTAATCCACATGCATTTCCTTCACGAATGACTATTGGAATGCTTCTAGAGTCTATTGCAGCAAAGGTACAATTCTTTTCATATACTTTTATTTTTAAAGTATTTTTTCTTGAAATTTGAATTCTTTATTAGTTATTATAGTAATATTTCCCTTCTAAGCAGTTTAGAATCTTTTTATTTCTTCTCTGTATTTGGTGACGTTCATATTGAAAGTGGAATAATTGGTATTCTAGATTTCTAATAGTGCAATGAGCATGCCTACAAAATATTGTTTGTTTTCAAGTTTGAGTCCTTGGGTGTTTGGTCTTGGGGTAAACTTATCACACCCTTGTTTTCTTTGATTACTTGGTGTTGATACTTAGGCCCCGTTTGGGGCTGCGACAAGGCTGCGACACGGCTGGGAATTGCCAATTGGGGACATTTGGATACTCTGGCGTGGTGGCTTTTTACACAAAGCCGAAGGAAACGTGGCTGTGGGCTCGATCACGCGGCCTATGTTCCTTTGTATATCGTTGGTGGGGCTGCCCCTCTCCTCACCGTGATTCATTCTCTCACGTCTTACCCAAGCGGTACACTCCTTTCTCACGATCCTCTCTCTCTCTCTCGATTCTCTCAAATAAGTTTGCCTCTACCGGTGAGTTCTCTTCTCTCTCTCCTTTATCTACTCTCCACTCTTTGTGAGTGCGATGGTTCCTCTTCGTGTGGTGGTTCGTTAGTGCTGTGGTTCCTCTTTGTTGTGGTTCTATGTGTGGTGGTTTCTTTGTGTTGTTGTGCCTCTACTTGTTGGGTAATTTTTTACCTTAACTATATTATTGTTTTTGTTTTTTAGAAATCCGTAAATGGCCAAGATTTTCTTGGTTTTCTCTTTGAGATGGTTCTTCTGTGCAGTTCTTCTTTTTGGTGCTGGGTAATATGCACTCTAACTTTTCTGTGGCTTTTGATTTTGCAAATGGCTTTATGCTCGAGAATTTGATGGTTTCTTCTCTGCGGCGGTTCCCCTTCCTATTGGTTAATGCGTACTATGCTCGAGAATTTTGTGATTTTAGATTTGACAATTGCTTAGGATTATTTGGTTTTCGGGTGGTGTTGGATTTTGGGATATTTTGGAATCCCACATGTGATGACTTAGAAACAGGTGTTGGTTTTCGGTTGATGTTGAATTTCAATTTTATGCTTGCTTTTTTATGTTCTTGATTGGTGAATGTACTGTTGGTTTTGAATGCACTTTCAATGGATTGTAATCACGTTCAAAGGGGTGTCTTTCTGTTGATGGTGGATTATTTACATTTCGTTGATGTTGGCTTATGTTGTTTATGTGGTGGATGTGGGGTTGGATGTGTTTGTGTTGAAGGATCTCTATGTAGTGGTGAAGGGTGGTTGGTGTGTGGATGTGGAATTGGAGGTGGTGGTATTTGGAGGCTTTTGTGTGTGGGTGCAGTGGATGTGTTTGGAGGTGGTGATTGGGTATCCGTGTGGCTGTGGATGTGTTGATGCTGGTGATTTGTTTGTTTGTGGGTGAGGTGGTGGTGGGTATTTTCAGTGTGGTTATGGATGTGTTGGAGATGGTGGATGTGTTTTTAAATGATGATTATGCGGTTGTATATGTGTTGGTTAGTGTGTTGTTGTATATAGGTAGTATTATTGTAGATGTGTTGTGTGAAGGTGTTTGTAGTTCTGTTTTGTGTTTGTTGGTGGTGGCAGTGGCTAGGTGTAGGTTGTGTGGTGTGGACCGGTAGTGGTGATGTTATTGTGGCATTATTTTTTCCGTGAGCCGTGCTAAATATTTTTTATGGGAAATCTTTATGCCGATTAGTCTTTTTTTTTTAATGATAGTATACACAATGGTTAAGAACAAAGAGGTTGTGAGACATGATTACCAAAATGATAATTTCTGACTTATGCCTCAAGGAGGTCGAGAAAGGAAATAGGCTTTTAACATGGATGGATGACAAAATATCATAAAAAAAAGTCAAGGAAAAGTTAGAGAGTACGATAGGATTCAGCTGAGAAATAAGTGGGATCAACTGAAAAGCGATTGAAAAATCTTGAAGGAATTGAAGCAAGGAATCATGGGCTCGAGTTGGGATCCGATAAAGCGAACAATTGATGCTTCCGAGTAGTAGTGAGCTGAGAGACTGACAGTGAGCATTTTTGAAACGTCCACTGCTTTGGTTTATTTTAATTTTTTTTCAAGTCCATCAACATATAAATTGAATTTTTAGGTGGTGTCAGTCGCTAAAAAAACTAAATGCAATGGTATGGGGCCTGAGCTGGACAAGAAGTTAGGTTATATGTTTGGTGGTGTCGTGGCAACAAAAAGTTATGATATTATTAATTGTTATTTAAATAATTTTTCTTATTCGCTGTTTTGTGAGGTGTCAGTTTTTATTTGATAACATTCAAATTGGACATTTGTTTTCAATTGTGAAATGTGTTTGCAGGATTGTTCCGTTATAAACAATATTATACTATATGACCAAAAATGCCATTTGTTCAGAAATGACTACAAAATTGTAAAAAACAAATAAACACCCAACTTTTGCGCAACGGCCTTTTGGCTCGGGTGCTGCTGCGCAACTTTTTAGTAAGTTGTTACTATCTCAAACAAACGCTTAATTTTATGTGATTATTCATTTGTCATTTTTGCTAGCCCAAATTAATTCTAACCTAATCTTGTCAATCGAGTGCTGCCCTTATTCCCGCAAAACCCCATAGTTTAACAGCGGGTTGATTTATAAGCCAGGAATAATTTGAACAGACGAATAAATCTTGACGAATATTTTTTTATTTGCACAATTCTTTTACTATTACTTGAAAGATAGTTCTTATAGTCCATTTCAACATTTTTGTGCCTGCATAGATTTCTTTTAAGTGTTTGATTTCAATTGTGAAATGTGTTTGCAGGATTGTTCTGTTATAAACAATATTATACTATATGACCAAAAATGCCATTTGTTCAGAAATGACTACAAAATTGTAAAAAACAAATAAACACCCAACTTTTGCGCAACGGCCTTTTGGCTCGGGTGCTGCTGCGCAACTTTTTAGTAAGTTGTTACTATCTCAAACAAACGTTTAATTTTATGTGATTATTCATTTGTCATCTTTGCTAGCCCAAATTAATTCTAACCTAATCTTGTCAATCGAGTGCTGCCCTTATTCCCGCAAAATCCCATAGTTTAACAGCGGGTTGATTTATAAGCCAGGAATAATTTGAACAGACGAATAAATCTTGACGAATATTTTTTTATTTGCACAATTCTTTTACTATTACTTGAAAGATAGTTCTTATAGTCCATTTCAACATTTTTGTGCCTGCATAGATTTCTTTTAAGTGTTTGATAGTCAGGCGGATATATGCTGATACTATTCTACTATTATAATATAACTAATGTTGTTCTCCCCATTCATTTTTTCTTCGTGAGATGATGTTTCCTTTATTTCTTCTTCCGTTAATGTATTTCCATTTATATATTTTTTGCGAGATGGAATTGACCAGCTATAGATTATGGCAGAAGTCCTCTAAATACTTCCTCCAATACCTTTTAAACACTGAGTCTTTTGTGCCCAAGAGAACTGATGATGGACCATTTATCATGCCACACGATAATCTTTTCCACAGTTAACGAAGACATTATAGAGATAGGTGATAAGGACGCAATATAGGAAGCTGTGATTAAATTGATTGAATATAGCTCCAACACTTATTAAAGTATCAAAGCTCACTGGAATATAATGAGATTTATATTCACTCATCTGAATTCACCCGAAACCACTTAATTCTTTACATCAATTTATACCATTAAAATCAAACCCTTCAAATTAAGTGAAAGTAATGCAAAATATTTTATTTTAATATAACAACCGAGCATGTAAAACACTCCAAATAGCTAAAAACAATTTTAATTTCATCAGTTGATTTACTTCAGTTTCTCTATTTTGTAATGACCATACAACAAAATATAATCCAAAAAAAAAAAGAAAAAAAAACTGTCGAAAAAAAAACTGTCCTACTTTTTTTCTCAATTTGTTCTTTCTCCTTTTTTATAAAAATAGTTATAACAATCTGATAAGTTACAGGGATCAGCAAGATAAATGAATTTAATATAGAATCCTAATATTAAGGAACAAGCAATATGTATGCTGATCATGAATAGACATATATCTAAAATGCGAATATGTGATCTATAGAATACTATAACAGTATATACATAAATATTTGCACCATGAGATAGCATTATAGTTGAAATAGTAATTTAAATGCATAAAATCTTTAATTGCTTATTTTCTGTTGGCTTGTTTTTTATTTTAGCTTCGGAATATGTCATGTCCTGTTATCTAGATTCTTGATCATAATAAACTGTCTTACATTACCAAGTTCCATTTAGCACAGGGGAAATCCAACATTATCACTATTGAACCCCGTAGTCCCTTTACCTTTTTTGGAACCCTTTATTCCAGTTGGATACCATTTTGCCTTTACCTGCGTAGATATCGTAAACATATAATTGTTAGCATTCTCTTATAATATGACATTTGTTTAGCTCAGCACATCTTCATAATTGAATATTTTAATAAACATGTGATTCCTATTAAGATATGCTAAATAACAATATATGAAAATGAGCAATTTACATGTACCTGATGCTTTCTTTTAACAATATCACAAACAAAAAAAAGATTTATATAATCAAAATGCATTCAATTGCAAGCTTGTGTTAACCAAATTCTTACGTGGTTATTTAAGACTTGTAAATCAGACCGAACATACAATTTATCCCGTCAAATTGGACACCCCGAAATTCTTCATTTTGTGAACATTTTTAATATTAGCATGCCACATACAAACTTATAAACATATCGCTTCAAATTGAAATTATTTCATTAATGTAATAATAAAACCTCAAGTAGATGGAAGATAACTTAACAAAAAAACAGACTACTCCAACCAAAATTTGTGTCCATATTTATCTGAAATTTCAGGTGAGGATTGTAAAACTCTTTAGTTGTCCCCTTCATCTTCTGTTGTTGATGACAAAGAAAGTTGTTCCAGATAACTAATTCAG